GGTAGGTAGATAGATAGATAGATAGAGAGATGTGGATTGTGAGATTCAGCGGATAAGAAGGAAATAATGAATAAAGAGAAAGAATGAACTAAATCAAGAAAGACAAAAATAAATCAAGAAACAATTAAAGAAAGAAAGGACTAAATGAAACATACGGAAAGAAGGAGGGAAGTAAAGAAAGAAAGAAGAGGACCGGAACAAATAAATAAAGATGGAAACAAGGAACGAAGGAAGGACAGGAGGAAGTGAAAGAACAAATGAACAGAATGAAAGGAGGGAACAACGAACGACGACAAGCAGCAACAAGGGAAGAATCAAAGATAACTCTAGTTCTTATGTATTGAAACTTCTGCCCACCACCAGCTTTGCCGGCTCTACTAGTACGGTCATGCACGCAAAGCTACGTAACCGCGAGTTTCTGAATTGGATGTTCGTGCTACTTTGCTGCCAACGTCTGAGGCTGCACCACCCGCAGATAGTGAATCTCAAGGAGGCGCACATGTGTGTTCTTTGAGGCTACCCTTTTGCTGTTGATTTGGAATTCAAAGGGGAACCGTGGCTTTTGGGTTGCCTCCGACACAAGCATGCATGCACGTGCGCAATTGATTCTCGAGTTCAGAACTGAGGGTTCACCCGGCATCCTTTCATGTAGATGTTCAATTGCCACCCAAGAGGTTTGGGGTGGTGATTGAGCAAAATCCTGTCACCAGAGTCCTCTGCGACCACGACAACTCTGCCTGAGCTGACCCGACAGACCAAAGTCTGAGGACAGTTCAACCTTGGAGAACCCACTCCCATCCAAGAATAGAGTATGTTCAGTGGCAGTGGAAACGTTATTATGTTTAAGGTGGCCAAAGGCACATCCTGTGGAAAGTTTTCGTCAAACCCCAAAAGTCGCACTTCGGGAGACCCATGGCCTTCCTCAGTCCCTTCTGACTTTTTGGAGTCGAACCGCGTGATTGAGCCCCCCATCGAGCATCAGAGAAGGGACTTGCACGGTTTGCAGCCCCAGAAAGCGTGTGCAGGCTTTCTGGGAAGGAAGCCTCTGCTTTATCGTCATGGACCTTGCGCGAGGCTGGAAGAATGCACAAAGCGGACTGCGTTGGGCTTTACAGCGTTCCAAGCCAAGAGGCTTTTAAAGCTCCCGTGTATGGGCCAAGGCAGCGGCTCGATTTGAGAAAGCTCGGATTGAACGGCACTCTCTTGTCCCCTATCCCAATACCATAGATAGCAGGAGTGGTGATTTTCAGCGATCCGTTTAGATTGTATATTTATATGCCACTGTATGACTACCTCAAGCATGAATGGGAGTAGATGTTGAATGTTCGATTTGCGGACATGTGCCACTGACCCCACCGGAAGGCAACTCATTGCCTGCGCAGTGCCAGGCGGCGACTTGCACGGCAAGCTCGAGCCAGGTGTTGGTTTGGGACCAGAAGAGTCGTCTAGGCGGGACATGACATGGGCCCAGGGAAGCTCCTAGCTGTGGCAACTTTGGGGTCTACCAACGGCTACAACCAGCACAGGTTTTGTTTGTTTTATGGCATGCTTTTGTTGAGGCCTCGGAACACCAACGAAGTGTGGTTCTGGCATGCGGGGATTGGGCATGACGTTTCTTGGGCAAAGCCAGCTCATCGCCAGATTGGCGATGCCACTGCAGACGGTCTGGTACACACTGCTTGACGTTTGTTTTAAATGAGCGACTGAAATATGTCACACAAAACGAGGGCCAGCTTTGTCATGTTTGGGGTTGCGTACAAGACGGAGCGGCATTTTCTGAGTGAGAACAAAGCAAAGCCCATTTAATGATCTCTTGTGTGTGAGATGCAATACTTGCGGTGGGTGCTGCATGCTGCCTCCTGGAAAGTTGTGACATATTGGCTTGATTTGGACGAACCATATTGACATCATTCTTTCCGTAGCAGGCCATATTTGGCTGAACACAATCTGTTGACCCAGCTGTATGGCCATTCTTTTGGCCCTGCCCGTACGCACAAAGCAAAAAGGCACATATAGGTTTCCGGGTTGTTGAGCCAATCCATTAGACAGGGCCTGTGTCATTTACAACGGGCCTGATCTTTTTGTTGTTATCCGCGTCAATGGAAAGACACCTCAGCTTACTGCACTCTATAGGACTTTCCTGCCTCAGAGTTGTAATTTGTCCCTCGGCCAGGCACGTCTCCTTGCACTTGCTGGCGGGCATCACGTACATGCATTTGCACAAGGCCTGATTGTCATGCCGTTCCACAGTCATGACTTTGAAAGGCACCCTTGATTTAAGCAGCATGTCGTGTTGATCCTTCCAAATGCTATGCCTGAACGAGGGTTCCCGGCGTATCATACTTGGGCGGACAGTGTTAAAGCCTCGAGGAGAGCTCGGAAGAGTGCGACCGAGATTTGAAGATGTGCCAAGTACCACAATATGTCGTGAGAGATGGGTTGCTTTTGCAGATCAACGCCAGAGATGCATTCGCCCAAGTGAAAGTTATGTTTCAGTTCTATTTATTGTGAAGTTGTGCACTACTTCCTGACTTAGGACTTGTGCAATCACGTCAAGACCTGAGAAGAGAGCAAATAGCCGCCTGATGCTAATTTGTGGCATGGACACCATTGGACACAAGTGGTTCGCCATTAGACTCTATATTGCCGGGCAAGGAGACTCAGACCCCACTTGCATACCATGCGGGTCAATGTAGCTGCCTAAATCTGCCTTAAAAGTGGAGCTGTTTTGTTCAAAGTATGAAGCAAAGGTGTGCTGTTGGAAGCTGAGTGTTCAGGCTCTCCAACGCTTCCGATTGATTTGATACTTCTCATCACACGAATTAAGCCTTATCAGACTTGTTCCTGGCTGTTGTTTTGTACTCGCTTGTCTTTGCTCTTTTGGTCAGCTGCTGTTGGGTGTTGTTGCTTGTCGTTGTCCGCATCCTACCCCACGGGTATCTTGGTCAGGCCGAGACACCCTAGCAAACACATGTGGAAGCGCCAGAAGCACCCTGCCATGGATGAATTGTTGCTCAGTCTCAAGGTCAGGGTGTAACCCTGAAAGAAGCGTCGCTTGCACCGATGACTTTTGCATTGGCCGCATTCAGCTTGCCTCATGTCAACCCACACGGAATCTTACGGAATCTGCGTGAAATGGCTCGCAAGACCAGACACCTGGTCCATTTGCTTAAGATTCTGTATTTTCCTTCTTAAGGTCTTAAAGGGAATCTATCACTACTGGACATGTTTTTTTGCAGGGCTCAAGCAAGTAGCAGTCCAAAACGGGGGTCTTGTGGGTTCGATGTGAGTTGGGTACCCAAAAAAACCGAGCGAGGTGATGCACCGTGACCTGAAGCCGGAGAATGTGTTGATCGTGCGCCGGGGGGCTGAACACATCAGTTCCGAATCCGTCCGCCAGGGCCAGGGCTTGCCAGGACCCCCAAAAATGGCCGGCACAAAAAATCTGTGGAATGACCTATGGCTGGCAATTGGGTCCGTCCGCCAGGGCCAGACCCCCCAATGGTCTGTGGAATGACCTCCCAATGGCTGTTTTGGGGTTCTTTGCGAGTTATTGGGGGGTCCTGGGGTTTGCCCACTTGTCAAGCTAAGTTGACTTGATGGTTCCCAGCCATCCCTGAGGATTTTAGGTTTGTGGGTTTTAGGTTCGAGTCGGGGTTTCTATTCAACCCACTAAAAATTAACTTTTAGCAGGGGATCTCAGGACAGACCAGTTGAGTAAAGTGGGTGGGATGTGTGTGTGTGTGTGTGTGTGTGTGTTTGTAGAGGTGTTTGAGAGTTTCTTCGATGTTGTTATTGTATTAACGGCGGGTGACCGGCATATCACATTGCCAGGCATTTTGAGTTTTGGTCAATATCCATCACCGCTTCCGCATACCCAGCACAGACACATGCACACAGATTGTAGGATACGTAAACCAAATTAAACAATGCATTGGTTTTGACATCCCAACACCACCCTGTCCCTCGTTAGATCATGCAGCCTTCGACGCACAGTGCATCACAACATCTCAGTGGAAGGTCAGGCTCGGACGAACATGTGCTTTCGACTCATAACCTCTCAAGATGGCAATAATTGTTCCACCGCTATGCATGATAATCTTACATGTTCAATCATGACTGACACGTCTTGCACAAAGGCATGTTTGAAACAAATGCCATATTGTAAGCTGTTGGAAAGGTTGAAGTCAACAGTCAGCAACAGTCAGTTGTTAACACAAATACTAGTTTGCATATTTCCCGACGGTGTTTCTTCTTGGTTGATTGGGCGCAAGCAGCTTTCTCACGCCAAGCATTTCCGTCCACATTTTGAGGTCGACGCATGCACCTGTCAAAGTTCAGACAGAGCAGACAGCCATAAGGATTGATGACACTCCTTCTAACTTGCCACATGCAACAACTTCCATTGCTTGACAGCCCTCATGAAGGCGTTTCGATGTTGAACAATGGATTGCCTGGCAGCAAATACCTTCCTGTCAAGACACGGCCTACAGGTCCCTCAAGCGGAGAGCCGGTGAGTCGCTGGTTCAAGATCCTGATTTGTTTTATGCCGGATGGTCGCGGTTTCCCTTGTAGCTCACTACAAAAAAGCCGGATTCGATTGAAGCCTCCCCCCATTTTGAACCCATCTTTGACCAAATCCCCTTGAAAAATGGGTTCCCCCATAAATTGAAGCTCTCCCGCCATTTTGAAGGCTCCCGCCATTTTAAATGCGTTGCAGCCCCGTTGCGTTGCAGCCCTTGCCAAGTCTTGCTTGCTCGTGAGGCTCCTACCCGGGACCCGAGCCCCTTTCCGCGGAGATGCCGGAGCCTTCGTCAGGTCACCATGAGTGCTGCTGGCTTTCGTCAGGCTCCAGGCAAGTCACGGCAATACGTCCTTGGCTGTGGGTCACAAATGGGTACCCAAGGAAACCTGGTAAATGGAAACAAAGACTAAAACCGCGAAACCGTAGCTCTTCCATTTTGAGCTACACCCAAATGTCTTCCGTGGCATTTGGCTTCAGAAAATAGATCAAACATCACCGCGCGCCAAAAGCGGTTTGCGGCAATGACGGCCTGGCGGGAGACGGCATGCGGGCATTGCGTGGGCATAGCACTGCTTCTCTATGGGCTTTTCAACACCTATCTCTTTGCAGCTCGCCTGAATACGGCCGAAGCTCATCTTGGACCTGAGAGAGCTTCAATGAAGAAAGTTTCTGAGTTGCCGGTATTGGCCAGATTGCCGGCTTGTTGAGTGAATGTGCTCAAGTACGAGTTCCAAATAGACTGACCGTTGGCAAAGGACAACAGCAAGATGTTTGGCTCGCAAATTGCCATACATTTTGACCATGGTGGGTATTCGAGTTTGACTTTTGCTGTGTCATACTTTCTAGCGGCAGAAAGTAACACCGGCACAGGATTGGGTCATATTTGGCTACTCAGGTGAAGTTCACCCCCGTGTACAGCGCGACCTCCTGCGGTGACCAGACGGCGGAAATTAAGAACTTCGAGATTGGGGAAACGATCCTCGTGTCGTTGGAGATCCACGTCTTGTGCTCCAACCCCAACCCTTACCAGGCAAGCGTGTGTCAACATCGACATGTGCAAGCCCCTTCCCAAAGTATGTTTCAGCAAGAAACATGTTTGTGTGATGCTAAAGATTGGGAGACACACACACACACACACACGCACAAATGTGTTGATCATGCACAGCTATCAGCTCAATAGCTGCCGATAGTGGAAGGGGATGAAGCAACTATGGCTGCGGTTCTAAGTTGCTCTCCATGTTTTTTTTTGTGCATTGATCCTCACGTAATACATCAGCTCAATGTACAGACCTGAAGACCTTGCATCCCGAGCTTAGCTCCAGCTATCCAAGCAACTCCAGCTATCTATGTTGTGTTCCTGAGGCCAGCGCATTTTCAGGCACGCTGTTTTTTCCAACAGCCTTTTTAAGATTGTTTGACTAAGTAGAATAGGAGTGTGCCTGTTTTAGCATGACATGTTGCTTTCCATGTGATTCTGATTGTCGCTCACGGGAAAGGGAATTCAATGACCTATTTAGGAATTGAAATACTGGCATCCACTGACCCCAACCAGCCCCGAAAAAAACGATTATATACCCTCATAGTGGCCTTATGTTTTTTTTTTTAGGTAACCCCAATCTGTGTGGGCTTTGAAGGGAAGTCAATTTTGGGCCCCCCCGAAAAAGACATACCCACATGGTGGTTGTACGTCCCTTGAATCTTGAAGCTAGTGGAATGGGGCAAGTGAACACGGGCATACGATTGCGAATGGTTTGTTTAACACGAAGCCCAGACAAAATGCTTTTGGCCGTGTTCTAGTCAAACAATAAGAAGCTGAACCTGTCAGCCTGACACCTGAACTTTTGCATGAAAGCTGAGACTGCAATACTAAATGTTCCCAGGCAATTGTGCATCCTTAGAGCTCCAGCAAGCGGAGCCTGAATATGAGCTAGACATGCAGGCAATCAACAATCTACAGATACTCATGAAACCATACGAAACCGCCTGTCTTGGTCATGATCTCTCCCATGCGGTTTGAGACCACTTTGGCCCGCTTCAGCGGGCTCCAATCCGCGCTTGCCTCCGCTTGCGGCTTGATTTCGAGGTGAAGATCCTGAAGGCCACGCCCGGCAATGTCTATATCGGAGAGCATAGAGGCCGCTGCCCCGCGCCATTTGCTTTTTTGGCGGGACTCGAAGTGAGCACAGCGCCAGCGCGCAAGATTCCATGCGTATACTGCTCGCCGGGCGCAAGGCACACGTCGAACAGTCTGCAGCTTTGGATGGGCCAAGGCTTGGAAGATGATGTGC